CCAAACGTGGGTGCTCTGCAAGACCAACTGGTGCTCAATCACTTGCACATCTCTCCAAGCCCAAAGATTTTAAATTTTATTTTTATTTTATGTGCATGGGTGTTTTGGTTGCATGTATGTCTAGGTACCATGTGTATACAATGCTACTGGAGGCTAGAAAAGAATATGTCCTTTGGAACTGAAGTTCCAGATGGTTGTGAGCCACCACGGGGTCCTGGGAACTGAACCTGGGTCCTCTACAAGAGCAGCAAGTACTCCTAATGAGAACTTTGAACCATCTTTTCATCATCTGCTCCAACAGGAATTTACATACATTCATCTCAGTCGCAATTTTTCTTAATTTTATAATCTTAGAAGATTATGGATGAACTCACAAGGGTTCACTCAATACTTTTCCTCTTAAGCTGAAGAGAAAAGATGAAGTTTCAAATGAGTATCAGTCAGGCTTATTAAGAGAGAATTCAAATATGTTAGGTGCACAGTGAAAAAGTTTATTTATGACAGGTTTCAAAACTTGGAAAAGAAGACAAAAATGCAAAAAAAAAAAAAGCATTTCACAAAACTGTCACATAATATAAAAACATCAGAAGTAGGCCGTTTAAGCATGGCTCAGGATCCACCCATGTATCACAGCAACACATTCAGTGCCATGAGGTGAAAATACACAGTGTGACAAAAGAAAAGCCACTCAACAGAACGAAGAACTAAGTCACAATTGGTACAGAGTTCTTCATGTGCAAATGATACATGTTGACAGCATTTCTCATGACAGAATGACATGTAAAACGAGTTGACTATAATAGCTGATTAGTTTGGATTTTTTTTTTTTTTTTTTTTGTATTTTGAAGAAAAAAAAGACAAGACTGTGATATAGTTTCCCTCCCAGACTTTTGGTGACCATAGCAGCAGTATATGATACTCAACAGTAAGGAAAGAAAAACAGTCACCTTTAAACCACTGATGAATCTAGATGATGGCTCCAAAGTAGCCCTTTGGATGTATAAGCAAATGGCATCTCGGTTAGGAAATCTCCAAGCACCTCCTGGTTTCCCCCGCTATGCTTATCCACTCTGCTCTCTAGAGTCGATCACTTATTACAAAGCATCAAGCATTTCTTCCGTGTGTTTCAAAACACTTCCCATTATTAAGGGCACATGGATATACCAAAGTCATGCATCATGGGACTGCTTTTTCCAGACTGGCTTGTTCTTTAATATGGCTAAATGGAAACAACCCAGACTAATTAAATGAAAGCTAATTCACTTATGGGACAATAATCTCAGAACCGGACACAAGATGTACTTTTAACATAAAATGTCTTAATAAAATGTACTGCTTAGGATATGAGAGAAGGAATTAAGATAATGTTTTCTAGATGAGTCCTGGCCTGAACCTAAGAATGAACAATAACAACAGCAAGGAGACATTACAGGCTAGGCATTTCAACCCTGAGTGATGATGAGTTTTGGAGTACTCCCTTAAATTGACAGTGAATTAAGGGCTCTTCTGTAATACTATACACCATTGCAACTCCAAACTTCAGAATCCTTCATAATCCTCTGTCAGAACTTCAGAAAATATACTCTGTTTCCATAAGTCATTTCACATACACAATTTTACCCCCAGATAAGTAAAAAAAGCTACCCAATTAAAATGACAAGAAACTGAACTTTCATAAAGCAGT